GCAGGTTGAAAATGGTGGGCAGGAATTATCTTTTTATATTTTCTCGATGACCGGGGTTAGTTGAAACATTCCATGAATTTGCCATGAGCTGTATCTGGCAACAGACTCGGCTACCGGCCCGTTATTTTGTTCTTTTGGGGTCTTTTTGGAAAATAAAATGGGGGATGTAAAAAACCGATCTCGAATCTGTGCAGGAAAAGAAAAGAAATCTCGATTTAAATCAAATATTTCAACCAATTGCGAGAAATTGCATGAAAACAAATCGTGTTGGCTTTCGATTTTTTATGGTTAGGGCCTCAGCCACCCACCCAGCCAGTTTCGTACTAAGCGGATTTCGTACTCGCCTTTAACAGAAGTTTCATACTCGCGAGTAAGAAACCGATTAATATGGCAAGTACGAAACTTTCGGTGAGTACGAAAGTCGTGCTCCCCTGGAAAGAGCACGAGTATGAAACTTCTGTTAATATGGCAAGTACGAAACTTTCGGTGAGTACGAAAGTCGTGCTCCCCTGGAAAGAGCACGAGTATGAAACTTCTGTTAATATGGCAAGTACGAAACTTTCGGTGAGTACGAAAGTCGTGCTCCCCTGGAAAGAGCACGAGTATGAAACTTCTGTTAATATGGCAAGTACGAAACTTTCGGTGAGTACGAAAGTCGTGCTCCCCTGGAAAGAGCGCGAGTATGAAACTTCTGTTAATATGGCAAGTACGAAACTTTCGGTGAGTACGAAAGTCGTGCTCCCCTGGAAAGAGCACGAGTATGAAACTTCTGTTAATATGGCAAGTACGAAACTTTCGGTGAGTACGAAAGTCGTGCTCCCTGGAAAGAGCACGAGTATGAAACTTCTGTTAATATGGCAAGTACGAAACTTTCGGTGAGTACGAAAGTCGTGCTCCCCTGGAAAGAGCGCGAGTATGAAACTTCTGTTAATATGGCAAGTACGAAACTTTCGGTGAGTACGAAAGTCGTGCTCCCCTGGAAAGAGCGCGAGTATGAAACTTCTGTTAATATGGCAAGTACGAAACTTTCGGTGAGTACGAAAGTCGTGCTCCCTGGAAAGAGCGCGAGTATGAAACTTCTGTTAATATGGCAAGTACGAAACTTTCGGTGAGTACGAAAGTCGTGCTCCCCCTGGAAAGAGCGCGAGTATGAAACTTCTGTTAATATGGCAAGTACGAAACTTTCGGTGAGTACGAAAGTCGTGCTCCCCTGGAAAGAGCGCGAGTATGAAACTTCTGTTAATATGGCAAGTACGAAACTTTCGGTGAGTACGAAAGTCGTGCTCCCCTGGAAAGAGCGCGAGTATGAAACTTCTGTTAATATGGCAAGTACGAAACTTTCGGTGAGTACGAAAGTCGTGCTCCCCTGGAAAGAGCACGAGTATGAAACTTCTGTTAATATGGCAAGTACGAAACTTTCGGTGAGTACGAAAGTCGTGCTCCCCTGGAAAGAGCGCGAGTATGAAACTTCTGTTAATATGGCAAGTACGAAACTTTCGGTGAGTACGAAAGTCGTGCTCCCTGGAAAGAGCACGAGTATGAAACTTCTGTTAATATGGCAAGTACGAAACTTTCGGTGAGTACGAAAGTCGTGCTCCCCTGGAAAGAGCGCGAGTATGAAACTTCTGTTAATATGGCAAGTACGAAACTTTCGGTGAGTACGAAAGTCGTGCTCCCCTGGAAAGAGCACGAGTATGAAACTTCTGTTAATATGGCAAGTACGAAACTTTCGGTGAGTACGAAAGTCGTGCTCCCCTGGAAAGAGCGCGAGTATGAAACTTCGATCAACCGGCAACAATTACTCAACTGCTGGTGCTCTCTCTCTCTCTCTCTCTCTCTCTCTCTCTCTCTCTTCTTTCTGATTTCTGAAAACCGTATTTCCTATGTTCGATATTTTAGCAGATTCCCTTCGCAGCCATGTTGCGTGTGTTTGTGCAAATCAACTGAGTCCAAAAAACCGTTTATCGACAGCCAGAGCCGTGTGAGGGGGAGAGAAGCCGATTTTTTTAAATCAGGAATTTGAGACAAAGTTACGTATCGAAAGCGGGTGAGGGATTCACCATTAATTGAAACGCGAGCTTAACTTCTATTCTCCTTTAATCTGTATCTAAGGTTAAAACGGGGCTTTGCGACTGGAAAAAAATGGTGTTCGAGTATTTTGGAGGGCAGGGCGATCGTCGTCGTTTAGCGGTTCGGCTCGACGTAGCCGACCTCCCGGGCCTTCCGCAGCCGACACCCGGGGCACTTCGCTAAAAAAAAAAACGAAGAATACGAAGAACTTCAGTTGACCAGGGAAGACACAAAAATTTGGAAAATGGGGGATTTTGTTAGAAACACCTGCTGTTAGAAGGCATTTAAAATCCAGCCAATTTCGGATAAATGTTGGTAAAGGTTATAAAAATTCGGGAATTTCAAAAATCGGCAAGAAAATATCTGCTCAGCTCGTCGAGAGCTTTTGATAGATACCCAAAAATCATAAAAATCGGATGGCACTGCGGACCGCTAGAGGGGGATCATTTTTGGGACACCCTGTATATAACTTTTTCGGCATTTTCTTATGGTACTGTCGGTGTTGTGTGATTCCCTACCGTCCGGGGGGCACTGGCCGCGGCGGGGGCACGGCGGGATGGGCTGAGCGTTGGGCCCGGTGCTGCGCCTGAAATCCCAAATTCTCCTCCCAACGACGATTTTTTTCGAGTACGGCTCGCAAACGCGCAATCTCCACCCACCGGAAGAAGTCAGAACAGGGCCTGCAAGTCTTGACGGGGGCCTGCAAATAGTCCCCCAGCACCCGGACATGCTCGCAAATCGGGCAACGACCCTCAGCCTGGAAGGGAACAACGCATTTTTTGGTTCTTTGGCATTATCGGGGGGGGGGAGGCGAAGAAATTTTTTTCTGAGAAACCAATCTTTGGAAACATAAATGGCGAATATGTTTCTAAACTATTTTGTACTATCTCGAAACGTAAAAAATACAAATTACAAAAATACAAAAATGTTTATTTTTTCAATAAAAATTTCGACTTTTTCAAAAAATTGCATAAATTTTTTGTTGAGTGTTTAGATAGTTTTTCTGGTGAAAAATCGGGTTTTTCTTGTAGTAAAAAGCTTATGAAACTACTTCCTATTGAGTTGGTAAAGTTACTAGGCATTTCTAGATTAATCCAAAAAATCCTTACCCACCGATACTGCGAAAGAGCCGTTTTTTTCTTTATACCACTAAAGGTATGTTTCTAGCAATCTTCTCACCCTGCTCGGCGGCCTGCCACCCGCGTGCTTCGGCTCCAACTGAAATGGTTATTTTTTTGGCGATACGCGCATTGATTAAGGGAATCAGGAAGGCCCGTGTAGATTAGTTCCCATCTACAGGGTGTCGCAAAAACCCCTTCGCCATTTGGCCGTCTCATCCTAACGGGACAAAATTTTTACCAGCGATGAGTCCCCATAAAAACCATGCGCAGCCGAATTTTCTAAGCGAAATGACGGATCTTTGGCAGATATCTGAGCAGTTGGCTATCTGCCAACTGTCAGCCCCAATCGACAAATCAAACAATCTCTGCTAGCCTGCCCTCCTCTCGGGGTCCGTCCATTTCCTCCTCCAATCTCTGCTAGCCTGCCCTCCTCTCGGGGTCCGTCCATTTCCTCCTCCAATCTCTGCTAGCCTGCCCTCCTCTCGGGGTCCGTCCATTTCCTCCTCCAATCTCTGCTAGCCTGCCCTCCTCTCGGGGTCCGTCCATTTCCTCAAACAATCTCTGCTAGCCTGCCCTCCTCTCGGGGTCCGTCCATTTCCTCAAACAATCTCTGCTAGCCTGCCCTCCTCTCGGGGTCCGTCCATTTCCTCCTCCAATCTCTGCTAGCCTGCCCTCCTCTCGGGGTCCGTCCATTTCCTCCTCCAATCTCTGCTAGCCTGCCCTCCTCTCGGGGTCCGTCCATTTCCTCAAACAATCTCTGCTAGCCTGCCCTCCTCTCGGGGTCCGTCCATTTCCTCAAACAATCTCTGCTAGCCTGCCCTCAAATCAAAGCCTGCTTCTTGGCGGCGGAAGAATTGACCTCGATGGATGATGTAGATGAAGAAGCACTGGCAGAAGACGGCACCGACGACAATGACAAACTCGGCGACGCCGAAGACACGTCGACCTGGAATCGATCAGAACCGAAATTTCGGGAATAATGCAAGTGTTACAAATTGGATCCGGGCATCATCGGTCTACATCCTTTTTAACTATTTCCAAGCACAAAATCCCACCAATTTTGACTAACAATGTAATTTTCGGTAGAAAAATTGATTTTTCGACTAAAAATGACCAATTTTCGACGTTTTCAAACATTTTTCTCCCTTTTTGAAAGTTTTTTCACCTTAAATATCGTTAAAACATACTAAAAATATAAACAATGTAAAAACACTTTCTATTACAATATTGCTCGGCCAACCAGGGCCGCCAGGAACAAGGTAGATCCCCCGCGAATCGTGAAGAACTCTTCGGTGTAAAACAAGAGCACCACGAAGCCGGATTAAAGCGCACGTTCAGGGAGGGGCCGTGTACTCGTCCCAACGTGTACACCCTATGGACGTCGGGACCGCGCGCGCTGCCTGCCCGTGCTGTGACAGGCCATTCCCTTCCTTTGCGGCGTGGGGCGCCCCACGCCCCCCTCGCCAGGTTGTCGCTGTGGCTGACTGGTATGCATCCGCGCCTCCCGAGCGGAGGGCCCGGGTTCGACCCCCGGCCGCGGCAAAAATCTTTGCTTTTTTCCAAAAAACGCGCCTGAACGTGCCCTTTAAAAATACGATCTTGAAAGCGGGATGCAACGCAACACGTTCTAAACGGCACGAATTTATTGTAGGCGCTATTTTAGACGGTAGACATGTATGCGAGTATAACGGGATAAAAAGACATTCGAGCAAGGGACAGCAGAATGGGGACAGAATTGCACGGTAAGTGAGTGCGAGGTAATTCGGGGTTTGGGTTAAGCTTGTTGGCGGGGTAAACGAGGCGGCATTA